TTTTTTCAGCAGAGGGCTGAGGGAGGAGGCTCAAAACTTTTACAAAGTTTCTGATAAACTTACAGTTGAAAATGACCCTTCACCAAGAACCTTTCCAAACTTGAAATCTTCAGGCTTTTTTTTCTTCACAGCTGGAGTTGTTGAAGATGTCGGTGATTGAGGGTTAGAGGATGAAGAGCCTGAAGCAGCATTCTGTAAACAGGCATAAGAAAAATATTTTGATTCCATTCACATTTGATAACATATAAACAACAGGTACTTTTTACAATCACTTAATGACCACGTCCTTCCAACTGAGAGGGGAGTTTTCTTTCATACAATTTTAACATAATGAAAGAGCTACAAATATGGAACCTTCAAAATACTATGTTTGTCAAGTTTTGAGGAGCTGAGAAATATAACAAAACATTTTCACAAGTCAAGTAACTGTTCTAAACCATGCAGTAACTGTTCATCACTGATTTTCCAGGAGAAAGTAGTCAAGAAAAGACTACTGTCCAGAAACAGTGACTGACATTAAGTATTGAGTTAAAACATGCGAGAAATTTTACCAAATTCCTTGATAATGTTTGGAAATCATTGCTAATGACTAGAGCAAACCATCCTGACCAATAATTTCAGATTACATAGCAAAATGTTATATCTAACAATAACAGTTCATGAATTGACTAATGTAAATTTTTAACTGCACTTTGTCAAGACCTATTCCCTATCAACACCTTCTTCTAACAGTTGGTTGGCTGGGACAAAAAAATGTTCTTGTTTTCCAAGGTCATTGGTGGTTCTCCATTCTGTCTGCTGCATAATTTTTATGATAAAGAAAGATGTCTTTTTCATCTTGTCACGAGCATGGGACAAAGAAAAAATTCTGAGACGCCATGAGGAATCAAACCTCAGACCTTCAGATTCCCTGCTCCAACGCTCTACCACTGAGCCACAGAGACTCCACAGTGGCTGAGGTCTATTACAAAGTTCATATGACATGCGTCCTGCATACTACTAGGATCAGCAATGTCGCTAGCATAATGTTTGTATATAGAAATAAGAGAGATTCCATAAGAACACCATAGGAACATTCCTACAATGTTAGTTTGGAGAATTTGGTATTAGATCAACCAATAATCCCATAATTGATATTATCACTTGTCTGCTTGATATTGTATTAAGATTGTACAGAACAATTCTGTCTTTGGCTAAAGGGTTAATTGAACAGTATTCCAATACATTTTCTTGTTGATTGCCCATCCCCGTCTTGAATGACCACAAAAAGACAATATCAAGCGATTAAATAAAGTTCTACTTAACCATGATCACATGAGGTCGATTAAAATGAATTAACAATCAGAATCACTTAAACCAGTTTAAATTATTATGTCCTTGTTCTAGGTACATTACTCTATCCATTACACCAAGAAAAATACAACTCAGAACTGGTCTGAAATATATTTGAACCGATAATAATTCACAACTGAAACATATACATCAGAATATTTTAATTATCATTTTCCTCTGAAAGGACAAGATGTCAGTGGACACCAAAAGAAAATTTAGGATGAAAACTGAAAAATTAATGAATTCTTGAACAACAAATTATCGAATTTTTCGGTAAACTTTGCTGTGAGGTTACCGATTAACCTAAGAACAAACAATATAAGAATGGCATCAACGAATAACAAGGAAACTGTCGTCTGATCGGTAACGAGAAAAATTACAAATCATTTGACATTTTCACTGAGATAATGGACTTACCTCTCTTTTTACCCCATTTTCTGCCATATCTGTGGGTTTAAAAGGCTAAAAGAGCAGATGAAACATTCTGAAAGAAGAAAACTATTTTTACGGGAGGCTTTGTAGAAGACGCAACCGCTGACCTGAGAAGGAATGGGTTCTAATGTTTGCAGCGCGCGAAGTATGTCACGTGATCTATCGAAAGAAAAAGTCGTAGCTGACAGTGATTGCATGACTTCTGTACAACGTCCGATTAGTTTTTGCGTTTTATTGTCTTCCTTTGTACTGAAAATTCGACTCTAGGAAATTGATTTCGTGTAGCTATGTCTGGCATTGCTTTGGGCCGTTTATCAGAAGAGAGAAAAGCTTGGCGTAAAGACCATCCTTTCGTAAGTTACGCGGCATTCCCATTTCCTCTATTTATGATTATGATAAAATGCTTGAATAGATCGATCTTACCAAATGAATTGACTTTGTTTTCTAATCGAAAGTATTTTTGTTTGTAGGGATTTGTGGCCAAACCGCTCAAAAATCCTGATGGTACTCTAAATCTGATGAACTGGGAATGTGGTACGTGAGATGTACAATTTATTCGTGTCTGATTCACAATCTCATCCAGCCAAAGCTTCTGAACTGATCCGTGTACTCGACATACCCATGCCACACTTTTTATTGATAATCATTAAGAAAATAAATTTTTATTTGCTTCCTCGATGATGATTATACTTTATTTCTGCTTTGTCTACAGCGATCCCTGGAAAGAAAGCGGTATGTATCTCGCGATTTTAGCCAAATTGATTAGACTGCGCTCATCTCGTGTCTCTAACATCGTGAAGGGTGCTGTCATTTTTGTCTCGGTATTCAAGGATCAACGAGAATGTTTACAAGCTTTGTTATTATATATAACTCGATTTATTTTTTTCAATTTTTCGAAAAATTAATTTGACAACTGTCAACAGATAAAGGTGTAAGTTTTGATCGTTGAGATATTATGTCTGACTGTTATAAAACTCAATTTGACTGCGGTCGCGGAAAAAGCCGGTTATAGGCGAACAACATTCTAAGATGCTGTACATTTACTGCGTTGTAGACTCCATGGGAAGGAGGTTCTTTCAAACTGAAGATGATATTTAAAGACGACTACCCATCCTCTCCACCAAAATGTAAGAACTTTGACCTTTTGGTAAAATATGTTGTTATTCACGCCTCTGTTCTGGTCTGTTAGTCTAAGGGGAACGACGGGAAGAGTGTGAAATAACATGGTTATTTTCCTCATTTATTTACGGCACTTACTAGTTTTCAAGAATTTCGTCTGGGTCCCAATAATTTATCATAATTTTTCTTTCCAAAGAATGTGCAATTTCATCATATTGAGATTTAAAACTTCCTTTTTCTTTCATGTACTTCCTGTTTGTGACAAAAACAAGTTTGCATATATTTTAAATTCATTTTATTCTGACTGTAAAATTATTCCAAAAATTCATAACATTTTGTTTAATTTGTGAAAAGATATATTTGAAACGGGTTAAAATCCATCTGTAATGTTTATTTGATTGGATGTCAGTGGAAAATTAAGGTTGTTCTTGATTAAATGGCACAGATGGAAGTTTAATTGCCAATAAATGCCAATCAGCATGATATTTTAAGGCAGCTATGTTTATAAGTTTCAATATTTTGTACAATTTCCATTTTTTGTAGGTAAATTTGATCCCCCAATTTTCCACCCCAATGTTTACCCATCTGGCACAGTGTGTTTGTCTCTTCTGGATGAGGAAAAAGACTGGAGGCCTGCAGTCACTATAAAACAGGTAAATAACCAGTTTCTTCATCACATGGAATTAAAATAATACCTGTGAATTGATGTTTTTTAAATGCTCATGTCTGCTTTGAGTGAAATGTAACGACAGTTTTTATTACTGTTATTTTTCTGTAACTTCTGTTGTGTGATAATGTTATCTTCCTTTAAGTGTATACAAACCCTCATGTCTAGTCATCTGTAAATAATTAGTCAATTGCCTCTCCTTTTTCTCTTCATAGGTTTTGTTTGAGTAATTTCCATCATTTTTCATCTTCTTCTATTAAAATTTAACTTCTTAGATTTTATTGGGAATTCAAGACTTACTGAATGATCCAAACATAAGAGATCCTGCTCAAGCAGAAGCTTATACCATCTACTGGTAAGAACTTCCACCCTTGAACTCCAAAGATTAAATCAGTAATTCTCCCTTCTTAGCTTTATACATTTCTTTGCAAATGAGTAGAGAGGATTAGAAATTATAGGCAGATAAAACCCCCTCAGCTGCTTTTTGTTCTATTGTGTGTCATGTTTATACAAAAAGATATTCAAACTTTGCAAAAATGTTACTCATAAGTGATCTCTTGTAGTTAAGCTATGAGTAATTTGGGTGATGTTCAAGGGCAGTAGAACTAGGATGTGTTGATTAGGACCTAGCTCATGTACAGACTTCTACTGCTTCCAAGTACTGTAGAAGCTCATGAAATTAGACATCTTCAAGATGCAAAAACATCTTCTGTTGCTGGAGCTGGCTGCTTGTGACAGTGGTTCTGGTAGGCTGTCTCCAGAGGTGTAAAAAATAGATGATGGCTTGAAAATAAAAATACCCAGCTGATTGGTGGTGTGAAATAGGGCCAGATGTAAATGAGAAGAAAGCCAACACTGAAACAGTGCTCTGCAATGAGTGCACTGTCAAATCATCATGACTTGCAACAGCGTCAAGTTGACTGATTAAAATTGATTCAGAAGTTGATGGGATTTCCTTTTGGGTGTCCACTATAAAAAATTTTATAGATGAAGCAAACATCTTAATTGCAAGTCTAAGATGTAGTGGTTTACAAGAGTATGTGAATACTGAGTTTGTTTAAGAGTTCAGACATGGTTATGTGAAAAGGAACTGTCCACTTATAAGACAGTGTGGGAGGAGAATCACTCTGTGAGGGTTAATTGTCTTTTTAAAGAACACAACATGGTGAGGCTGGCCAAGGATTGAACCTAATGGCCTAATCCAGAGTCTAGAATGCTACCATTAGGTTGGTGCATCTGCTGGCTTTAGCTCGATGGTACTTGTTGTACAGTAAATGAACTGGAGTCCAACTGCTTTAACTGAAATGAATTAACAACAATTACAATATATGATATTTAAATATATACCTTTGCATGATACAGGATTTCATTTAAAATGCCTGCTTTCTCCTGTCTTTCTCATCCTTCAACTTGCTTTGGTGATAATTTTCTGCTCTTTTCAGTTAAATATAAAAATGCTATAAAGGGAACATGTTAAACATTGGTTTCTGTAAAATTGATATTTTTGTTTCTTAACTTTACTTTCAGCCAAAACAGATCAGAATATGAGAAACGAGTTAGAAGTCAAGCTGCAAAGTTCTCAAGTACATAGTGAATAAAGAAAAATAGAAGACACTTCGCTAACAGACATGTGGTTTCATAATGACTGGCACGAATTGGATTTATTTTTTTCTCCATTTATGAACTGCGATGGGGAGTGGAACAAGAATTAATCCATAACTGCTTTAATACCACGGCTGTTGTTGTGAATTGGAAGGAGCTATCGTGTCTGTTATAGTAGGAAGTTTCACAGTGTACAGTTCAACTAACTTATGCTACAAGACGGATAAAGTTGACCCTAATCTATGTTAGTTTTGTTTAGGCCTCTCTGTGTAAGGTTTGGTTGGGTTTTAATGGCTCTAACTATTCAGGGAGAACTATCAGATGACACTCTCTGATCCCATTGTCGGGTCATTATTTATCACCTGGTGGGGTGGAATGATTTTAGTTGTGTTACAACAAAAGTTAAATGATCCCCCCTCCCCTGAAGGCTATGTAGTATACTAAATATCCCCCTCATTGGCAGTTAGTTTCCCAAGGTGCCCTTCCCCCATAATGCTCTGTCAAGAATGACTGTTAACCTCTCCATACCCCCCTGGGAAATGTGTTCCTCCAGAGAAATC